TGTCAGCCACTGGAATAGGCTGCCCAGGAAGTGGTTGAGTCTCCATCCCTGTATGTGTTTAAGAATAGGGTGGATGATCTACTTAGGGACATGGTTTAATGGGGATTAGGGACGGTTGGACTCGATGATCTCTAAGATCTTTTCCAACCTAGAAATCTATGAATCTATGAATTTTTATATCTCTATATATAGAGACATAAAAATAAACATATATAAACTGATTAGCTCTTACTGTCTCTCTTACCCAATCAATTAAATGCTCGGGAATTAATAAAGCTGTGATTTTAGAACTGTCCTTCGTGATGAAGAAACCTGAGCAAGATTTGTGATACTTCCACGTTACGAATGCAGGAGGGATTGCAAACAGGAGACCCTACGGATGACAAGACCACTGCACCGCAGCGACAGGTACGCCTACGTTCGCTGCCAACTGGATTGGAGACTTCCTACGCCAACCATCACAACGCCCAACGGTACTGATTTTCACAAACTGGAAGCGATCCAGGTTACAGACTGCCTTGACACACTCTTGAGATGCAAATCTGAAGCACGTCTATACTTTTCCATACCTGCTGCCTATTGACACCCCTCAGCACCCTGGCTCACTGCGGCAGAGCACTGTACAGTTAGGGGCCGAGCAGGACAGCAGCATGAGGAGTACACTCTCATATTGATGCTCGAGACCAACCTGCATCTGCTGATCAAGATTATTTTTTTTTATTTGACTGCTACAAACTGAAGCATCTCAGAAAGAAGCATCTCAGAAGTGTCAGGTAAAAACTGGCAGCAGGGGACTGAAAGGGTCATCTGCGGATGAAGCTGTCGACACCTTCTGTGGCTGCTCCCAAAGCTAGCCCACTGAACCCTAAAGGATTCCCTGTGGGATCACTTTGTACAGTATACTGAACTATTACGTTAACAACGTAATCGCTTTCATTGTTACTCCACATGAGTAATGATGATGAAGTAATGAAATGAAGGTAAGCCTATCATCAAAGCTTTAGGAGGCCAACATAAGGCCTCTCCTATCAATATCTCTCCCACAGCAGGATGCCCAGCCCTCTACAAGCAAGTTTCTCTAGAGTATACTGAAGGTCCATGTAAAATAGCAGCCTTTCAAGATGTATTTTGTTGTTCTTAATCACTGATTATCCTTTGCTCCTCCAAGACATAACTACATTTATGTGGGTCCACCCACACAGAGCACACGCAGTTGCCTTCCTCCAAAAATACAAGAAGTAAAAGTTTTATTCCTGGATTCAGATGCAATTACAGCAGGACAGAAATTACAGTAGCATAACTCCCGACATCCACATTTGTAAGGAACATTCCACTCCCATGAACCTTCTCATGAATAGAAGTGAAGCAGGCAGAATCACAAAGACACCAAAGGAATAGTTATCTAAGCAAAATCAACACACCTCATTCCCGTTTACTAGAGGTTGTTTTAGTATTTACAATCCTCTCTCTCCTTCTGGGATGAAAAAAAAACTCCTTACTTGTAATTATTTACAAAAAAAAATTTCCATACACTTTCATATTCTAAGCATCCCTATTTGTAGCACTTTCAGCCACAGAAATCTTTATGCCAGGACCCTGCCCCTTGCTACTGCATACCTGCTGTATGGCAGGTAAAGTGAATAATCTCCTCAGTTTCCAGAATCCTAAAGGATTAAAGGGCTCAAAAGAACCTTGAGTAGGAAGAGCTGAGAATTTTATATACAGACTAGGGATCTTCACATGCAGTTTCAAACAAGTGACTTTCCTCCTTCCATGCCTGCCTAGATGAGTCACAGGTGGTTACATAAGAAAGGATCCAAATACATCAGCTGGAATAAAGAGTGAATGCTAAAAGGATTTGTTTCCAAAGACAGCAGTACAGTACAAGTTTTCAATACATATACACTATGCTAGGTACATAAAAAGAACTCCAAGCAGAAGATTTCAGTCACTGTAACTGTGGCAGAATAGACTAGAATCAACACTGGCAGTTTCATGTTACCATTTCTAAAAGGTCTTATGCAGTTCTTCAATGAGATAATCTGTATCAGAATAAATCATTGCTTTGACTTCTCAGCTAGATAAAATCAAAAGCTTTTGTCCCAGTAACAAAAAAAAAAAAAGTGACATTTGTGTAATATCTAAGGCACACAGAATGGCTTAAGAAAAAAAAAAAAGAAGAAAAAAAAAGAAAAAAAGGCAAGTAAATTCATATTCTGACCACTGAAACTCAGAAGCAATCTTAGAGGCCAATATTGGATTGGTACAGACCACTAGCTCATCTGGAAGTGGACAGTAGGGACAGCAGAGGGAGCAGAACAGGAAGAGAGAGTTGCAGTAACTCAAATATCTCCAGTCCTTCCAGCCAAAATCAAAACACCAGTAAAACTACCTTCCCTGCAAAGAAGGGAGCAAATGGCTTAAGCTTTTGTTCCATCAATGTAAGGGCACAAGTCAAACACCACTGAAGCATCAGTTTTTAAAAGATGTAGAAGAAGGAAGGGGGCAAGAGACAACAATTTTCCCTTTATAAACGTAACAGAGTAAAAGATCTTGCATGCAGTGCAGGTATTTTTGTCAGATTGACCTTAGCTGTGCAATATCTAAAGGTGACATTCCTCCAGGACAAAATTCGAAACGTCAGTAAAAATATTTGCTAAGGAGAAAGTTACGTTCTTCCTTATAAGAAAGGATCATTCCACGCAACAGCAAAGCAATGACTAGCAGAGCTCCTCCTCCTTCTCCTGACTGGGACACCTCTAATACACAAGGAAAATCCATTCTCTAGTTCCGAGTGCCACTGACAGTCTACATTGTAGAAACACTGAACATTGGGTGTCAACCACAAGACTAATGAAGCAGACCAAGAATAGAGCAATGCCCTATGACTCCCCACAGATAACCAGGAGATTCTTCCACCTGGCTTGGCCAAACAAAAAGTCATTTTTCAGATGACCATCAAGACAATAGAAGGCAAAGAAGCCTCTGAAGGAAGACACTTTCAGTAAAAAACATCTGAAAGAGCCCCCGAGAAGAAAGACACTGTAGGGTGCAAGAAGACTTTGTTAACAGTAACCCAGGACAGTTCCTCGCTTCTTCCCACCCAAATACGTATATTCCCAAGCACGTTCGTTTTCAGTGTCACGGACACGCAGGATAGTTCACTTCCCCCCTCACCTGCAACACCTTAGCACGGGTACCACTCCGACAGCCAGCTGCGGATCTCAGAACTCAGACACCAGCACCTGCGTCACATCAGTGAGCTGGCTAACGAGCAAAAAGGGACACTGAACACGTACAATGGGTTAGTCAGCGCAAGGTTCATCCCCCGTGCCTGCGGTGCACCCCTCTGAGCTTCGCTCCTGAGCACGGTTCTGTTGGGTGGGGTCCCCACTCCATCAGTGTCGGTGTCCTGGGGCTGTTGGAAATGCTGTCAGGATTCACCCATCTAAGGACCCTGTCTTGACAGATAAGTAAACCCCCCCCCCTTACACCAGCAGATCTCTTTTGATCAAGCAATAAGCTGTTTCAGGGAGATAAATCAGCTCCGAAGGAGGTGACAGAAAAACAGCTAGGAGACGAAGGTTCTCAAGCAGTCACTCTCAGTTTGGCTTAGGATCTCAGTCCCACTCAAAAATCTGTTCCCTTCTCAAACATTCCAATGTCTTTGTGTTTCAAATCTTGTCTTGATATTTGTGACTCCCTTTCTATTGTCAGTATGAAGGATGACCAGCCCTACCCAGAAGCCTGCCTACACCTCTTCACAAATCTGAGAACTGTGCAATCAAGAGATTTACAGTCGGTAAGAACTTCTATCAAACATCTGGAAGTAGCCAACAGACTACATACCCTCGGTCTGCGCAGAGAGAGACAGAAAGATACATGAGGAATGGTAAAAGCCAAACAAGCAGGGTACAGTAAAAATGAACCCTACTTCAAGATCAACATTACAGTCTTTGGAGTGTGTCTACATCACGCAACTGAACGAAGCAAAGAGGCTGCAACTCAGCCTTAACTTACACCAAAGCATTCGAAGGGCACAATGCAGTGGGATAAGAGTTACAAAAAGTGGTATAATATGAAGAATCTGAAATAATTTAGGCTAACAGCTAAGGCAGAAGCTTTCTGTCTTCTCTGAATTTCATTTCACTGCAAGGCACCAGCGATGGGTTTCAGGAGTACTTTATCTGACAACAGCACTAAGAAGTGGCTGAGTAAAAGGTGCTTCTCCTCTCAGCCGGGCAGAGAAGAGCCAAGATGAGACGTTTCTTGGCGTGTAAAAACACAGCCACAGAGCTTTGCATCTTGATGCACTGATTTCACTGAGTGATCTTATACTTACATATCCAAACCTAGAAATCAGTTTTAGCTAGAATACTAGAAAAAAATCAAAACAGTTAGCAGGATTATACAAAGCATATGAAGAAACCTGAAAAAAAAAATGTTTTTTTATTTAAAACTTGCTTTGTTGACAGCTTACTGATTACCTTAGACAGTATCTATAAGTAGTTTTCCAACATAGGAAACACATGAACTTTGCTATTATGTATCTTTGAGAGAGAAAGTACGTGCAAGAGAGAATAATACCAACCTTCAGCTTGTGAAGCTGGTGACCGTGCCCACTTCTTAATGCAATTCAGGTGGAACACGTGGTAGCAATTCTGACAGCTCCACACTGGGGCTACTATTCGGACCACCTCACAGCATACCATGCACTCGTACTTCTCTGTGGTCAGCTGTTCAATCAACGACCCTGCAAATAAAATATATTACTTGTCCATGAAACATCAGCTAGCCGAGAAATAAAATTCCAAGATTTTATCTAAATTATAACAGAACTTATTTTTCCCGGGTGGCTGTAAGCAAAGTATTAGGTTACTCCTGGAAGATTCCAGTTTGGTACTCGGTATGAAAGATTCAGAGCAAGAAGAGAGAGTATGAGATTCCTCTAAAAGAAGCAACAATAATTCCTGTTGATGAATAGCAATCATTCTGATCTTATAAATTAGTTAATAGTTTTAAGCTTGGCAGAAGTTTGAGATTTTCCTCATCACTTTATATGAGAAATATATCTTCGCATAAAGCTTAAATCAAAAAGGTTAAAACTCTTAACTACAGAAGCTTCAGCCAAAATTAAATTTAATTCCCATCCTCAAGTACTCCTGGAAGGCCACACAACAAATATTAACAGTGAAGTACCTGGATTACAGAAATTAGCCTCTCGTAAACTGACTGCTTTAGGAGCAGAATTACTGGGAAACAATAGTCAAAGTATCTGTCTTTTGAGCCATGTGAAAGAACGTGAAAAAGTACTTTGAAAATAAAGTAAGAGCTCCACATGAAAGAAAAAAAAACAGCCCAAAACCATAGTCAGATGTGCAAACGTAACACAGGCACCACATGACCTCAGTTCTACCGGATTAACTCTCCCATTGAGGTAAGGCTATCAAACATACCTTAGAAATGCCATTCAATCTATGCTCACAGAATTTTGAAATATCTTAATTACAAGTGTAAAAATGTAGCATTTTCAGATGGTGCCAATACAAGGGACGTTAGAACTCATAATAAAGGAAAAAAAAAAAAAGAAAGTAACAGAAGAATGACAAACAATTCAAAATGTGTTTGTAGCGCAAGCAACTGAAAGCCCGTGGATGCCTGGAGACTCGGAAGTGCTAACACTGTTTGCCCTCCTTAACAGGATATAAGCACTTCCAAGGTTCTTTTCCAGCCCTCCTGCATCGAGCACGACAAGATTTAGAACTAACAGTTATTTCTGGTTTTGGTACCCCATGAATATTACCTGCTGCAGAGAAAGCATACTCACCTGAAACACACTTTTCTCCAGAAGATTAAAGCTACACCACACTCAGAAAGGACAGGTGTCCCATAAATAGTTAAAAAGAACAGACTCGGTCCCCTGAAAACAGTGGCAAATACTGCTTCCAAACTAGCTCCCAGTAAAGCACGCGAAGACAGGCTGCCATTCTGGAGGGGGAAGTTCCTTAAGCTCTCCATAAAAGATTACTACTTCTCTTCCTGCTTATTGCATACGATGTTTTTGATTTAATAATAATGCTGGGAGAAAGACTGAAGTATCTTTAATTTTATGATTCCAGTAGAACCCAGGAACATGAAAGTTAATGTGCTAAAGTTAGAAAGGATCAAGGGCGATCTTGATCCTCAAATGTCTCCTAAGGGAACAAAATTTCTGACAGTAATTATCTTATGCTTCTCGATTACGCTACTACTTTCTTGGCTCTGAAAGAGCAGAGATGGCTGAGAAGCAAAATCTTTAAAAGATTCAATATCACAGTTAAGAGAAAAGGAACGAGTCTACCTGTCTCTATCGTTCTGGGCAGCAGCAGATCAGGTTGAGATGCTTTGTAAAAACCAATTAAATATAATTCTTAGTGTTTTTTCAACTGGAAAGTGAGCAAAAAAACCCCGAAAATCTCTCTTCTTACTGTCTCTGAAAGAAAATAGGACTTCTGCTGGGTGCTATGAATAATATGAGACTATTTTCTCAGTGCACACTTAAGCTTATCGAAAACTATCAAAAAAAAATAAAAGAAAAAGCTACCTAGGTCATCTAGAAACAGAAACCAGTCCTGTGCCACTGAAGATTCAGCTGATTTCCATTTAATGTTTAAGTCCCTAATGGTACCAGTTGACACAAAATTCACTCAGACAGTCAAAACCCTGTGGGTCTGCTTTACACTGTCAACAGCATACGTTTCTATTCTCAACTTCCAAAACTAGTATCCGGAGACTTTCTCTATTTCTAATTACCTTTTGATACTACCATTGCAAAAAAAAAAAAAAAAAAAAAATCCAGCTAGGAGCAGAATGCAGTTCCTCTATCTGGCATTTTCCTACTGTTACATAAATCGTGAGAAAAGTTATGCTGCAAAAATCAGTTGTAGGATTGTCCTTCTGTAGTGCTATTGTTCAGAATGCCCAGAATTTTACTCCCTGCTCCTGCAACACGCACGTTTTCACGTGGTGCCTGACTGGGCCACCATTTGCAGTAAAACAGAAAAAACTTTAAACAAAACCTGTTCTTCCTTAGTAAACTCACAGAACACCTCCCCACTCAGAAACCACGCGTTTACACTTAATTCTCCCCTCTGAAACCGGTATTGACCTAATGTGAAACCATTAGCCTCTTCAGCTAGCCAAATGTGAAGGCAGTTTAAATTATCCAAGATCGTATCCTTAACTCAGGTGTACAGGACAGCCCAGAAAGCTTACCTGTATGAGTTTCTTTGTTTTTTGGCACATCGCTCTGCTTTTTCCAGTACTGGGTCCAGCTGAAATGAAGTGCAGGTGCCTGGTCCCCCTTTAGCAGGAACTTTCTTCCATTACATCTGACAGAATCAGACGACTGATGCCTGATTTCATCCGTCAAGCTTTCATCGTTTTTGTGAACGGAGAGTTCTTTCTTCCTCTCGTTTTTCTCTTTTGGAGTATATGCAAGAGAAGACTTCTTACCTACTTTTGTGTTTTTACTACGGTGAGAATCATGTCTTTTCTGAGAATCCTTTTCTACTGGGGGTTTATTCCACACAGGCTTCCGGGGATATCTTTTGTTGACATAGTTGTAGCCTTTCTGCTCATCTGCACTTCCAACGGGGGCATCACAGAACGCCTTCCCAACAGAGGATTCCGAAGAGTCAGACTGAGTCAAATCCAAAGACGGAACATTTTCAAACAGCTCTACTTTCTGCTTAGAGCTCACTCTCTTTTCCCGGTCATGCACTTGCTTTCCCTTCTCCCTGAAACCCCTTCCAGATGCATGCATCGGATGTGTTTTCTTCGGCTTTGCTCCTCTGCTGTCTGCATTAGGTATCTCCCGGTCACTCTCTGAGGAGAGAACATCACTGTATCCTCTCGGAGGTCCTCTTCTCCCAGGTGCTACTGTGCTATCCGAAACTCCTGGACCTGCAGCAGCATCAGCAGTGCTTTGCCTTATCTTACTTCTAGTACACGTGTTATCGTTTCTCGACCTGTGCCATCTCTGGCTTTGCAAGTTGCGATTCTTCAAACTTTTGCTGGTGCCAAAATATTGGTGGAAGTCTTCAGAATTCCCATACTGACTATCTGGATTACAAATGCCAGGATGCTTTGTGGATGAGCTTTCATAATCTGTACCCCTTTCAGAGGACAAACTAGGAAATGGTAAATTACTTCTATTACTGTTAGAGTCTTTCCTATCTTTATTTATCCAGTTTATATCTGCAGGTTGTCTTTCTCCTGGGATGAAATCAGGAGCATCGGGATTGAAATTCAATGCACCTAACAAGTCAAAAAATAAAAACACGTGTAAGACTATTAAACAGTAAACATTTCTTTTCAGCAAAACTACCACACATGCGCAAAGGCCCAGAAGTTCCATCAGCCCCACACTTGACAGAACAACTGCAAACAAGTTTCCCGAAATCAGAGCTGCATCATACAGCAGTGTGGAAGATACCTTCTCCTGTCATCTTTAGAGAAAGACTGTGATGACCCAGAGTTAAAATAAGAATATGAAAACAGAAGGTGAACAGAACCATTTGAAGCAGCACTGTACATATACAAGACATGCAAGTGTGATAATCACTTTTGTATATCCCAAAATTTAAGGACAGATGTAACGAGGTAAACCAAATGGCTTCTTAATGTTTAATTAAAACGTGTTTTACAAAAAAAAAATCACACAGCTTGCCTCTAAAAAGTATATTCTATTACTCAAGACCATCGTTTCCTTGGTTATGAGATGCAGTATGTAAAATGTATGCATAAACTATACACAAATTGCTGCAGAGGGCTTCCAAATAAACATAGTAAATGAGCTTGGATAAGAACGTTCTGTAAATCAGTAAAACACACCATCTTATACCGACACAAAACCCAGGCTGGACATGGCTACAAAATGCTAGTTTTCTAAAATACAGTCAAATTGACTGTTGAGCACGGCCTCCGAGAAGCGCAAGCACGACTTGAAATGTAGCTGTGGAAGCGATGTTTTTGAAAGCACCTTCCAAATAATCTATTAAGTTTGAAGAAACAGATGGGAAACTAGGATTCAGATATTTAAAAGCACCTCCAAAATATGAATAATTCATGAGGACTTTTTATATCACACATGAATAGGATTCCTATTCTTACTGTCAGCTTTTAAATTGTAAAAAAAAATCGAAAGAAATGGTAAATTCTACTAAAACTGATTTCTGTCTGCCAAGACAAGAAACAGCAAAATACATACACAAGTGCAACAACCAGTAGCTAACACTGGCTCAAATTTCCTGACATGATTACATGTACATGACCAAAAAGAAGAAAAAAAGAAGAAAAAGGGAACCTCCAAAGCTACACTGCAGTCTGTATTCCCACAAAATAAGTGAAGAAAATCACAGTACCTTTAGAAACAACCTCTACATTGCAGATTTTAGTATCCCTAAGAGCTTGGATGTGAATTAAAACCAAGCATGTGAAACTCCTGTGGTTTCATGCCCGTCCTGCATAACGTGACACGTTGCACCACTTC